GGGGGGGGGGGGGGGGGGGGGGGCGCTATCACTCAATATATAAGAATTATCACTCAACTTGGATTAATTTATAACAAACATATAATTAAATTTGTTCTGAAAGAATAATATTTCAAATAGGAAGTCACATAATGTCATAAAAGTAGATTGGATCTGAGTGGAGAAGATATACTTGATAAGTGATGCATTTCTTTGCAAAATATACTGGATGATTCGACTTATGTGAGTGTTAGAGTAGTGTTGCTCCTTTGAAATTATGACAATTTCTAGAGTACTAACAAATATCAAGACATGCGCATACCCTCTTAGCACAAAGTCGCGACAACCACAAAAAAATGGCGAGTATAATAATGTGATAAATAAAATATTTGTCTAATAAAAGAATCCTTGATTCATTAAAGTTTTCAACTTCACCAATTGTTTTGTATTAAACTTGTTTAATCTTGATCTGATTCATAGTCTATAGACTATGTGAGACCAAATTTGGTGCATTGCACCCATATATGAAAACCCAAGAACTTTTTTTATTTCATTCTATTCCGTACTATTTTATTTTGAGATATGTGAGAGATCGTTGAAAAAAATAATTTAATATCTCAGAAAGAAATTATCTCCTATTCTTTTTTCAGTATTTCGAAAATCTGAGTAACGTCTTTGTAATAAAAAATTTGGCATTACTCTTGACTAAGTTTAATGACTAATTTTATTGACATTGAAATATATTCTTTATTTTGCATAAATTACCTAAATCTCATAGGGTTAAGGACTGATTACATTATTTCTCTACTCTTTTTCAAAATACAAAAATCTCTTAAAATTTATGAAGTTCGGATACATCTCTAGACTTTCGGATACATTAGCAGACATCCGGATACATAGGTGAGAGATGTATCCGAGAGGGGATGGATGCATCAGAGAAGGGATAGGACATTCAGATACATGACTGGACTTCCGGATACATCAACAGACATTCGGATACATAGGTGACAGATGTATCCGAGAGGGGAGGGATGTATCTGAGAGGTAGATAGGGATGTATCAGCGAGAGGACAGTGATGTATTCAAGAGGAGATTTTTGTAAATTTTTTTAAATAGTAGAGAATTTTAGAGATTATGATAAAATAAGATGTGTATTTAGATAATTTTTTTTTTATTACCATTACCATTAACCTCTTTTATTAGCCCATTAATTTCCTTTGATCACCACAACAATAAATTTCCTTCGATTACCACAACTATAAAATTCTCTGTAAATTTCCAATATTTATAGGATTATAGACTAAATTATGTATAACTTACATGAAACTCATAGTGTAAAGACTAAATTACATTCTATCCCTACTTTTTTTCTAATTACAATAATCCCTTAAAATTTGTACCTTTCGGATACATAAGTCATCATCCGGATACATTAATTCTAATACAAGAAAAATCTTCCTGATGCGCTAAAAAGGGAATAAAATCTGAAAATTAATTAATTCCATAAATTACGCTTTTATTTGCTTGATCCTCGTTATCTTTGAGCAGATTTAATAATCGGTTGATTTCTTTTTCCATTAATGAATTTTCTTCTTCAATTTTATTCATGCAACGCATCAGATGAAGCTCCTTTTCCTAACACTCAACCTTCCATTTCTCTAGTCCGTCTTTGATTTGTTCGATGGAATTGGTAAGAACATCATGTTTCTCTTTTGCTTCAGAAAAATCCTAATAGAACGGAGAAATTCAAAATTTCAAATTGCTTCCCCCGTTCAACGAAGAAACCTTTCAGATTTGATTCAAAAATTTTTGTGGAAATTTTGGATAAGCAAGGTGAGTTATGAAGGATAAAAAAGTGATGGAATTGTTGTTGGACAAACGATATCCTTTTGAATCTTCAAGTTCATCGAAGATCCTTTCAATTTTGATTCAAGATTATCAAAAAATTTGAGATTCAAGATTCTTTCTTCTCTCAGTTGAGCGAAGATCCTTTCAATTTTGATTCAAAATTCTTCTCCTAGTTTATTGAAGATCCTTTCAATTTTGATTCAAATTGTCGAAAAAATTGAGAAGATATCTTTGCTACTTAGCATTTTACTATTTATGTATCTTGTTTAAATTGACAAGCATTGTATTTATACTAGATACATTAAATAAATAATTATTGCCCATAAGATGTTAGATTTAAGATGATACATTACTGTGTGGTAGTTGCTATGTAATTGATACATTTAGTATAAATTCAAATTTATGTATCATATCTAAAAAATTAGTGCATGATACATTACTATTTATGTATCTCGTTTAAATTGATAACTATTGTATTTATGCTAGATACATTAAATAAGTAATTGTTTCCCATAAGATGTTAGATTTGAGATCTATACATTACCGTGTGGTAGATGCTATGAATTGATACATTTAGTATAAATTCGAATTTACGTATCATATCTAAAAAAATAGTGCATGATACATTACTATTATGTATCTTATGTAAATTGATAAGTATTGTATTGTTGGCCTTAAAAGATATGTATAACTTACATAATATATCATTTTGTAGTTCATAATAATGTATTTGATACAATAAGGTTGTGAAAGAAGGATGTATGTAAGCTGAAATAAAGTGTATCTATAAATGTATCACAATAAATAAGAATTAAGTTATCAATTAGATACATGAACAAACACAATCCATTAAAGAAATTTGATTATGAAAAACACTAGAAAAAAGAGGAAAATATTAGACCGTATGAAATTTTGGTGAAATTGAAACTAATATTATTATGAGACAACAGGAAGATTAAATTATAATACAAGAATCCTAATTAGTTTCAATGAATGATTAGTTGTTAGAGTCCATAACCAACTCAAATTATGAAAAATGTACAAATATTATATTAATTATTACCAGATAATAACTAATACTATTACTTCTTCTTTTTTCTAATTTACGTTTTAGTGTTGAAAATTTGAAGTTCACTTATTTTATTATAAATTTTGAAGTATTTTAAAAATATGTAACAGACTCATAAATATCCTTTTTAAACTTTTTTGTCTAAAAAATATTCTTAACCTACAGAAAAGAGTATGATTTTGAATTTTCAAACGTAAATGAGAAAATAACTACCACGATTCTGTGACTAAAAATAAGGAGAGATTTGTGGAGTGAAATAAGGAAGGGATAAATGTTCCAAATAGCATATTTTTTTGGTGTGTGATACATAACACAAAGTTTATGTATCACACATATAATTTGGTACTGTGTACGGATACATATCCTTCTAAATTTGAATAAGGGTTAGAAGATACATAACCACACCTAGATACATGATAAATGGTACAATTGGTAGAAGTTTTGTATCAAGTATCAAAACTAATTAGGGTTATGTATCAAAACTAATATTTGAACATGATACACTAATTGTAATGTCGTAGTATTGAAACAAAGGCATTATACATTAATTAAGAAACAAAATTAACTAGATACATTAAAATTCTAGTTAATGTAAGATAATTGTGGAGAGATTTATGACTTGAAAAGGGGAGAAAAAAATTGTGGAATTAATTATGTATCCGGTAATTTTTTATTTAAATTTATTATTTCTATAATTGAGTTATTTCTACTGTAACGATCAAACATTATTAAGAGTAATAAAAATAATTTATTACACATATAATTACAAAAACTAGTGACCTATTTTAGGCGCTATAGGCTTAGCTGCATCCACCTTGCATTCCTAAAAAAATGGTATGACTAACAAGTTAATTGAGGAAGTATTTTCAACAAACCCATTTAGCCGTATAGGATTATATTAAAGAGGAAATATTCCTCTTTTAATTCAATTTTATTTTTGGTTAGTTTAAATTTTTTGAAAAATATTTTTTAATTTTTTTTTTTATGTTTGGTTAGTTTAAACTTTTTGAAAATCAAATTTGGATATGAATTTTGTAACTGCTAATAATTTGGAGTGAATTTAGGGAGAGAAAATAGGAGTGGTGAATGTGGGTTTGGCTGGTGACTTTTATGTATCCGGTAGTTTTTAAAATTAGGAGAAAAAAGGGATTTATGTAATATTTTAAAAAGGTAGAGAAAAAATGAGAATAAGAAAATTAAATGTGTATATAAGTAGTTTATCCATAAATTATCCTTCTATGGTCTGGCTTAAATTGAATCAGTTGTCTTAATCTGAGGTTTTAAGCATTTTTGGCTGTTAGTGCCACCACTAAGTTTACTATTTTTAGTGAAGAGATATATATCCTCCTTATATGGGACCTGAAAATGCAGTGTAGAAAAAAACATACAACATAACTTACATATGCGGTTTTTTGTTGCCATCGAAATGTTCCAATATAATTTTATCTCCATTTAGTGATTCACAGAATTACACATATATATGCCGTTTTGATAATGCTACGACCACGGGCAGAGCTAGGTGGGAGTTTGTGCCTTCGTAGGTTCGAACGAACCTCAATAACTTTTCGTAGATCCTATATTTGTACTAGAAAATTCGATAAATATATATGTATATTAACTCATGAACCCCTAATTGCTAAACAAAACCATGAGAGGGAAACTTGAGCAATCAAAGCTACACCCTCTTCAATGGCTGACTATGAACAATTGACATGTAATGATTTCTACTTTACTAAGCCAGTTCGGGTGGTAAGGCTCTTTCCTTTTTTCCCAAAGGATTGGGCTTCTCCGGAGCGCTGGCCCTAGCGATTGCATGGTTTCTTCAATTCTGAATTTCTGAATCATCAAACATGATGGCTCCTTCGGGGGCCTCTGGCTCAGGATCAGGTGAGGGCGCTGGAGGAAGTCGCTTCCGCTGGACTTCGAAATTTGCAGATTTATTTGGAAGTAGTCTCTTGCTAATTTCGAAGCCGGTCTCAACCAACCGGCCCTGGACTCTCCCAACCCTAGTGACTGATTGACATCTTAGTGATAGGGAAGGGGTCGTGACCATGCTTTCCATGATACGACTGAATCACATGCCGTAGAAAATAAAATATTTACAGATTCTAATGATTTTATCATTTGGCATGAACGATTAAGCCATTTTGATTTTAATATGATGAACAAAATCATTAAGAATTTACATGGGCATACTTTGAAGAATCAACAAGAAATTCAATCAAAGAAATTCTCTTGTGCTGTTTGTTCTCAAGGAAAGTTGTTTTATTAAACCATCATAAGCTAATATTGGAATTGAATCTCATGCATTTCTCTAGAATGTATACATGGTGATATATGTGAGTCAATTTACCCTTTATGTTGTTGGGTATTTGCCCTGAGTTTCTTACCATAAATAGGCTTTCCTTTTCCTAAAAAGAAAACATAAAGTCTCCATATTTTGCTAGTCCTTTTCTTGTAGGAAAAAAATTAGGACTATAAATAGAGGCTTGTTCCTTCTAACTTAATCAACATTCACAATATAGTCCTAGGGGCTTTGAGAGTTTTGGTTAGGGGGGAGAATTTGTGGGATACAAGGGATGCGTTATCACTTGTATGAACCTCCTTGTATTATGAGTGAATTGGTTGAAGTTATCTCTCTATATTTTGTACTCTCATATTTATATAGTGAATTGCTCATCTCCTCTTGTAGATGAAGATCGATTGACCGAACCACGTTAAATCTTTGTGTCTTATGGTATATTTCTCGTTTGTCTTCTTACACATAGTCTTTCGAGGTTTGCTTTGTTAGCTTCCACATGACATCTGATTATTTTCGGTCCTAACAAGTGGTATTACAGCCAGGTTCAATGATGGAGCCAGGTTCAATGGTTCGATAATCGATGGTTGAACTAGGTTAAAAACAAATGTTCATCTTGGCGGTCTAGTTTTAGCCGCAACTTATTTGATAGTAGTAAAGATTTTCGTTAGAGAAATTTTTCCAGAGAAGTTCTATATGTTGAGACATAGATTTGATAGAGGAGATGCAAACTGTTGAAGATTATGTGAAGAAGATGGATCCAATTTATTCTATCAGAAATTTAGGCTAAGGGGGAGATTTGTTGTGTATTTGCCCTGAGTTTCTTACCATAACTAGACTTTCATTTTCCTAAAAGGAAAACATAAAGTCTCCATATTTGGCTAGTCCTTTTCTTGCAGGAAAAAGTTTAGGACCCTATAAATAGAGACTTGTTCCTTCTAACTTAATCAACATCCGCAATGTAGTCCTAGGGGATTTGAGAGTTTTGGTTAGGGGAGAGAGTTTGTGGGACACAAGTGATGCGTTATCACTTGTGTGAACCTCCTTGTATTCCGAGTGAATTATTTGAGGTTATTTCTCTCTATATTTTATACTCTCATATTTATTTACTGGATTGCTCGTCTCCTTTGTGGACGTAGATCAATTGACCGAACCACGTTAAATCTTTGTGTCTTTTGATATATTTCTCGTTTGTCTTCTTACTGGTGGTCTTTCAAGGTTTGCTTTGCTAGCTTACACATGACACCCAATCTTGATGGACACATCTACAAGATGGTCACGTGCGTGCTTATTAACAACTCACAATATGACTTTTGTAAGATTGTTATTTCTATCTCATTCATATCCTCGAACAAATCATGTATAAGCCAAAGAATAAAAATATAATTTATTTATAAAATATTACAAATCAACTACCAGGTGCATTTAATTATCTTTCAAGAATTACTAATTTTTCAAGAATTATCAAATCTTATATCCAGCTGCAAATTCTCCTGTTCGAATTGATGTTTCGATGGACAAATTATTAAGGCAAATAAGTCTAGGTTACATCTAAAATATGATAGGCCAACTGATTTCAAGGATAAAAATTCTCGAAAAGAAAAGAAATAAATGATCAAGATGATCATAGGTTGGAGGCAATTGTTCAAGAAAAGTTTTGAGTCATAACAAATAATGAGACAAAGTTGAATGATATTTGAAAGACAAATAAATTCGAGTGACTATGGACACCAAGTACCCAAAATTGAGTGACTTTTAAAAGACAATAACGCTGATTGACTACGAAGGCCAGTTACCCAAAATTGAGTGACCATCCAAGCTTATAAGCTAAAACTCTACTTGTTACTCTTGCTTAATGCTTGTTTTGTACAATAAAATATTTATGGACAAAAGAGGCAGATAGAAAAACAAACAAATTCATATCTATATATTTACAAAAAGTAGCAACAGAAAGAGATAAAATGTGTATTCCTCTCAGCAAGCTCAAGTAGAGACTTTAGCTGCCATATACAGGAAAAGACCTCTCAACTTGTTTGAGAAAATATTTAGAATTGTTCGCATTTGAAGATGAAGATGAAGATGATGATGAAGGTGAAGAACTCTTAAGAAAAAGTAACTCGCTTTTGGTAGCTTCTCTTTCCTCCTCATTGATGGTATCTAGCATCTTAGAAGCGCGGTGTCTCATGACATTTATAAACTGTGGTGGTGCTACCTCTGTAACAAACCTAGCAATACGAGCATTTGCCATCGAACTATACAAGTAGTGTTAGAGGATAGTTAAGGTGGATTGTATGCCTTAAACAACACAAATTAGATGAGATTTATAGGGGTGTTTGGTAACTGGATTATCCATCTATGGTCTGGCTTAAATTGAGTAACTCGTCTTAATCGAAACATTAATCATTTTTATCTGTTAGTGTTGCTACTTTCTTTTAGTATTAATTGCACAAACAAAGATGTCTTTCTCCCATTGCGGTCATCTTATTGAAGAGATCATACATATCCTTCTATATGGGGGACGCAGAATGCAATGTGTAGAAAAAAACAACATAAATTAAATATCCGGGTTTTGTTGCCATAAAATTTTTTCAATTCAGAACTTTACCTGGAACTGAATGCCACATGCCCCTTTTCTGCATTTCATATTGTACAGTCAGTCGAATGGAGGGTCAAGAAGACTGCCTTGAAGGATCATTCCTAAAATTTGGGCGTCTTGCGCTGTACGTCTATGCCTTTTATCGCAACATATTCCCTTTGGGACAGCCAGAGTATATATAGGATGCCATTCACCATTAGATACTGAAAATAAAAAAGATTTTGTCAACCAACTTGCTTAAGTTAAAGGCTGTAACTATAATAACTTTTCCTTGAAAGGAGTAAGAGCTTAAGCAATATAGACCATTGTTCAAGATGAATCCAGTAGCTAAGTGCCACGACCCAAAGTACACCCTAGGAGTAACATGACGTATAGAACTCCGAGAGGCTCTACACAAGCCACTTAGCATACATCATACCTAATAATAGAATTAAAGATTTCAAAGAACCGTCTTATAATATCAATAAAGAGTTTGACGAAAGCGGAAGTCTACATAAGTCTCAATAAGTCATCTACTACACCAATAGAAGTGATTGAGACGTAATCCATGCATCACATACAAAGTCTGAAAACTGAAACACAAAAAGCGGTATAAGTGTCTCAGTCCTCAGAACATGAGGACTCACCAAATCTTCAAAAGCCCAAAAGGATCAACTAGCCACGAGTATGAGAGGTAGGAGCGTCAGACCCTACATTAGTGAAACAATGTAGGCACAAGTATGCATTAGTACATAAGTATGATAGCAATGCATAAGAGTTATGAAATCATGTTACAAAGGACCTTACGTAACATGCAATGACCAAGCTAAATCATAAGATAAAGAGTTAGGAAACATGTGTCAAAATCATGGTCAATTTTGCTAAACATCTTTAAAACACTCGTGAGATACTTTAGAAAGTAACCTTAGTTCATTATTGTGGGAAGTGTCCCATATAACCAACATAGACCATGTGAGCTATAACATGGAATCAATGTCTATCCCACACTGAAAAGATAAATCCTTACTTGCCAAGGTAAGAACCATACATTTGAGCTAAAGTGGATCCACTAGCTAATGTCTATCTAAGACAAACCTATGGTGGCACATAGTTATGGGATAAAGAGATTGCTACTAGAAACCCGAGACCTCTACTAACGGGAGAGCTTCCATCTCAATATCCTCTCGGTGCTAAGTATAAATCTCATGGAATAGTCATTAATCATATTCATCTTATTATTCATGGAAATGTACAATTAAGCAACCAATCCAATCTATAGTTCATTTAGAATAGCTCCTAAATCTTGATTCAACTTAGGTGAGAAAACCTTTTAACCCTTATGAATCATTTTTGTGAGAAAACCTTTCACAACAACTACAACATTGATACTTTACTCTCAAAGTATCCTGAAATCACTTACATCAATTTCACCAAAGAACATGCATATCTTCATAAGTTCATCTTCCATAGTTCATAAACTTAATCATGTGTTCATAGCCTAAAATTCATGGATCATGCATGAGTTCATATGAATTCGATTAAAAAACATGTAATTACTTCAATTCATGCATAGTTAGATAGAAAAACAATCAATTTGATCATAATTGGAAATGACCCATGAAGATTGAAGAAAACCTTAACTTGAATTGAGAACATATCTTTACAAAATTGGGAGATTTTTGGAACCCTATGGAGGAAAGGATTCCATAGGTGAATACTAACATACCTTGGAGTTCAAAGCCCAATTGCCATGGTGAATTTAAGGTCTTGGTGCTTGAAACCCTAGATTGCTCTTCCTTGAGTTGAGGGAATTTGAAGGAGATGAACTTGGAGGGAATTTAGGCGTATATGGGAATGATTTAGAATTGGTAGTTTTAGGGCCTAAAATACTTATATAGGCCTTAGGATTTGGACCAAAACGACCTAGTTTAGACATTAATCAATTAGGGAAAAAACTCAAAAGTCCACCCTTCTACAGTTTGGACCTACAGTTCGTAGGTCTTTCTACGGATCGTCCTGGTCAATCGTAGAAATGATCAGAGACCCTAAACTTTGACCAACCTTTGACGGACACAGTCTACGGCTTGTATGTCCATCTACGAACCATATAAACCAACATTTGGCCTTAAAATTTCACTAAGTCTGGGAGCTACCTGCTAGACCTATCTATGACTCGTAGATCAGTTGACGGATCGTACTGGTAAACCGTAAAGGAAGTACTGGGGACTTGATTTTAGAAATTTATTTCCCCCCTTTCTATGGATGCCATCTATGACCCGTAAAAGCTTCTACGGTTCGTAGATGGGACCTGTAAACACAACCTGCAGCCCAAAAATCCCCTTTTTTTTTCCAATTCAGAGGTGTTACACTAAGCAAAACCAATATATCCATTAATAAAACTTAGTTTAATATGGGCAGATTTATTGATAGTTTCAAAAGAGAGAGGACAGCAAGCACAGATGTAAAGTAAAAAGGCCAAAAATAAATGAAAATTGTGAAAAATTTGGTTAATGAACTATATTTGTATGACCTCCTTTCTCTTATTTTCTTCTTCCCCATTATCTTTTTAATCAAGAAAATCCTTTTATGCATCAACAGGCTGTTACAGTACATGTCTACAAATATTTGAATGCTTTCTTCAAATGTCAGCTTTAATAGCCTAGTAGGTAGACCAAACCACTTGTGAAATTTATATTAGGTTTAACGTCTAACGACCTAGTAACCATAATCATATATCTATCAATTTGGTGCTACAAATTAATAGACATGTAGCTCATGTACACTTCTTTGAACTTGAAGTCTCCTTTAAAGAAATGCACCAACCAACAACAACAACACATCCAGTATAGTCCTACAAAGTGGGATCTGGGGAAGGTAGAGTGTGCCCACACCTTACTCCTATCTCAGAGGCAGATAAGTTGTTTCCATTAGAAGAAAAAACAATCTAGAGCAGTACAGTAAAGAGAGTAAATGAAGTGAAAGCATCACACAACATACTGAACAGTAACCACAATTAAATAATATAATAACCGAAATACAAGAAACATCAGATAGTAACAGAAATCGAAGGACAGAGAACTATGAGCAATACTACAATTACTAGCATGAGCGGATAGCAAGACAATATACTACTACCTACTAACCTCCTATCCTTATATGTGTCCTCCACAACCTCTTATATAAGGTCATGTCTTCGGTAACTTGAAACTACGTCATGTCCTGTCTACTCACCTCTCCCCAATACTTCTTTCTCCTACCTCTAACTCTCCTGAAATTATCCATAGCTAACCTCTCGCACCTCAATACTAGGGCAAGTTTACATCTCCTCTCCACACGCCCAAACCATCTTAGCCTTACTTCACCCCTTGTTTCGGATATCCTCATTTCTAACCATATCTCTCTGAAACGACCCCAAAAATGTCCGAAAATGTGCTTCGGAAACACCTATAATTGTAATTTCCATATATCTCAAAATACGTGCATGATTTCGGAAATTCGACTTCATATTCTTATTCAGGGGGTCAAATTGAGTGGGAAATGAGTCTAACCCGAATTTTAGAACAACCGTATCAAAATTCGAAAATCGCAAAAAAATGCGATTTTGAGGGTCAACTTTAAAGGGGCATATCTCTTAGCACACAAGGAACTGGAAGG